TGTACTCACCATATGCAGAGAACCGCATCCTCCCTTTGGAGAGGAATTTTAATAGAAGTGGATACCTTCCATCTGCTACAAACTCTAGCAGAAGGATCTAAGATACCAGGCAATACTAAACATCTGGAAATAGGTGATTCCAGGGGCTGGAGTGTGGGGCTGATAGAGATGTAGTTCTTGTGTCTAGGTTTTTTGAAAAACTGGTTCCTTGGAGATAATTACTCAGAACTATACCGCCAATTAACACTACATGTTTTTTATCTCAAGAACAAATGAACAATCACTTGGGAGACAGGATTCATTTATTACATACCTCCCATGGCTAAGAGAGGCAGTAAAGTCAAGTAAGAAGACCGCAGACATCAAGCTGGCCTAGGTTTAAATCCTATTATAGCTCTATAATCTACTGGCTAAATGGCCTTGGGCAAATTGTTCCTATTCTTGCTGTGTAAAGAAGCTTAGAGCGTTAATAAAAGAGGCATTGCTTACCTCAAAATTTTGCTTCATGGATTAAAATGAAATAACACAAGTTAAACTTCCAGCAGAAGGCTAGAGACATAATAGAAATTCAATTAATTTTGACCTTATTCTCTTTCTTACTCTTCCATAAGATTTAGAATTCCAGTTCAACTTTTCCATGTAATTGTTGATTTCCCATGACACTTTCCCATGCTGGAGGTACTCTTCCTCTAAGTTCTAACAGCATGTTCTATTTGCACAAGTAGATCTTTCTCTCTCCCTATCTGAACATGAACTCCTGAAGGGCAAGATTCATAGCATATTCACATCTTCTATTCTGTGTCGCAGCAAAATGTCTGAAATCAGGGCATCATCCCTTGTTTAGATCTATTGCCATTATTCATAGAATCTTGTTAGATAAAATATCAATTTATTTACAATGGAAAAACACGGAGGCACAGTTGTCTATGATAGGACAATTGTCTCTTTAAAAAAAAAAGTCATTGAAAAATACTATACCATGTGAGCAAAATGCCATACCATGTATTATAAGAAACCATTCCTAACACTCTCACATAGACTAATTGTCAGCCCTCCTTCTGCCCAGCCTACATCTATCCCCAGTACAGGCCAGATTCCAATCCAAAAGTGTTTTATGGGACCCTCAAAGAACAAGAACAGGAAATGAGCTCTTCTGTCTGGCACCAAAAATTGACTTTGGCTTTCTCTATTCCTTGCATTTGATACGGATTGAGGTTTTTGTTCTGTGTTTTTCCACCAGTTTGTTCCTTGTAGGCAGACATGATAGGTTAAGATTGTTCTCATTGATGAAGAAAGTTGACATGTTTTTAAAGGTTTCCCCAAACTCACCTGATAGCCTTTTCCCCACAGCCTATCACCAGCTACTCTCTGCTATTTTAAGACCAAGACAACATCATCTTGTAATATATATCTTTTGCAGTTCAATTTACTGGAAATATTCTATGTGAAAGCTACTAATAATTACCTTTTCTGATCTCTCTTGGGGTGTTAAACCCACACTGTCGCCAACCAGAATTAAGGGATAGGTGGATATTGTCAAAGGCTCCTGAGAAGTTGAGACAGTGTCTCTTTTCCCAATTTCAAATTCAGGATTAGGCGTCAATATCTATGAATAAAAAAACATGTTCCATTCACCATTTCAGGAACTTGGTTGGCTACATGACCATTGAGCATACATGATGTATTTAAAGTAGTTATATTCAATATCTCCATTTAAGAAATAAAAGAAAAATAAAACTAAGATAAAATAAAATGGTTGCCCAAGATCACAGAGATAATATCTAACATAGCTACTACACTTTGCTTCTGGGTATATTATATTCCAGAGTCTACATTCTAAACAATCCATGCTCCCCAATTTTGTTCAACAAAGCCCTATGCAGAGAGTCCCAGACAGAAGCTGTTTAGAGACAAATGTTGGCCCACTTTACTGTTTGTAGAGTGAACAGATGTTTTCCAGTGGAGGGAAATACTCATGGAACACAGATGGCTACTGTCAATGGACTCTCACACTCTTGAATATATAAACCTACCCTGACACTCTAAACTAAACTACAATTATGAATATGTACCCAGTTTTATCAGTTGTTTTCATACACAGATCCATACCTCATACATTGGGAATTATTTGGGCAATTTTATTTCTAAGACAATTTTTATAAAAATGCTTTTGATTAGCTTCTGTCAGTGAGATCCAGAAAAAATAATATTGTTCCAGGTGTCCTGCTAGACCAGGCAGCTATTTACCCAAAGTAGAGAGCTGTTTCTTTGAAAATATGTGTATCAAACAGCTCTGATGGCTGTTGTTATCCCAACCACAAACTTAGTAATTATGATTACCAAAAATCCTAAATATCAAAAATCACAGAATATGAAAACAGAAAGATCAGTTGGGAAACTTTTGTTCCAAATTTCTCATTTTCAGATGGAAAACCTGAGGTCCACAGAAGAAATGACTTTCTCAAGTTCACATAGCATAGCAAATAAATTAAAGTCAAGGCTAACTTATGAAATATGACTCAAGCTCCAGTTTCCTTTCAACTCTACTCCATCATTTATTGACAAGAGGTGGCTGGTGATTGTCTTTACAGTCTGTTTTCTGTCTATGGGGTTGCTTTGTAGAACATCGTATTTGACAAAGGGTTGATGAAAAGGAAGACTCCAGAAACTGTTCTTGGTCCTTGGCATCATGTAATTGATGCTTTGTTTCCCCATTATCCTTGAACAGTCCCTCAACCTCATATATAAACACAAACACAGGCAAGAAACCAAGTGAGATGATTCCAATTTATTATACAAATACTGATAATTAAAAATACATAAGGATCACAAGCACACTAATAATTGATGATACTATGCTGCATCATTGAATAGATTAGCTATGGTGCAAGAAATTAAGGCTATAAAAAGAGGTATAATATACAATTGCAAAGATAGACTGGATCTACTTCCAGAGGTGCTAGTAGGCCAACTTTAGGAATCTAGACATGAATACATGTGTTATAGAAATGATATGATTAACTATGTATGACCAAGAATGGAGATGCAGCTTAGTGAACTATGCAGTAAAAGGTTATGTTTTTTTATTCTGCTGTCGAATTTGTAGGAACAAAATTTTATTTTAGAAAACTGAAAATGGAAAACCTGAGGTCCTGAAGTTAAAGCACAGTGTGTCTCCAAATCACTTCTTGTGTGATTGGTGTTTTCACTTTCATAGTCTAGGGAAATTAACATCTACCTGTCACCTTTTAATTTTGACATCCTAAATACATGAAATGTAACTAATTATTTTATTAATTAATTGTGACTAATTCCTCCAAGCTGATTTTTCAGTCCCTCCAACTGGACTCTTCTACTTGGACATGAAATATTTTTTTCCTTCTCTTAAAAACAGCAAACAGCAACAAAATCATTTTGCTTAGCTTGATTTTTCTTCACTGCCTTCAATTCACAATCTACTATGTTATTTCTCACATATACCCCGATTCTCTCTCTCTAAATGTCTTTGCGAATATTTGATTCATTTACTCATCACCATACATACCCCTGTATGGAATTCCTCTGCCCCTGAGCATTTGTTTACTGTTGCTATTTTCCTTGCCTCATCTCCACGCCTTACCTGGACTTGATTTATTTCTGTGGACTCTTCTCTTGCCCAAGCCAATACTTTCTCTGTGGTTAATTATTTTCTGTTTATCTAATCTTTCTCTACTTCAGGCTACTGTTTCACAGTTCCCTTTTCTGACTAATGCTTGTGTCTGCCATTCTAGATTTTATCTTTACTTTTTCCCTCTGATTATAGACATGTGAGGTTTAACTTCTGTCTCAAAGTAATTCTCTCAGAGTGCTAACTTGCTTCATTTAGTAATGATCTCTCTTGCAATGACACTAAACCTCTGTCACCAAATTTTATCTTTACCAGAACTCTGTAGTGGCTGCCATCGGGCCCTCTCCTATTGCGTTTCCCTTTGTCTCCTCAAAATGAAAGTCTAAGACCAAGCTTAATTTAGGTCTCTCTGTAGTCTTATTCCACCATTCATATTTCTGACATTCTATTATTTTTTCAGCATTACCAGGTGTTCTCCTTTGATCTTAGACTCAAACTCTTAATGTATTCGTCAATCAATTGCTTGTCTAACTTTATCCCTTAACTTACTAACAAAATCTACCAATTACTCTGTTTCTACATGTTTTAGATATGACCATTCTCCTCCATTCTTATTGACTTCATTTCAGCTGAGGTCTTTATTAATTTGTTCTTCTTTTATCACAAATGTTTCATTAAATTATCTCTCCATTTATAGTTTTTACCTACCCACATCACCAGATAACGGGTAATTTAATGAAACTCCCCACTACCTATGCATCAATCTGCAAACATTATTGAACAATACCATGCCAGTGAATTTGCAGGTGATTTTGGAAATATACAGATTTTTATAAAACTTTGTGTCTTTGTAAAAATATATTATCATTGAGGGGTTGTAAAATATTTACATATAGAAAGTTATATATAGTGTAAGATATACATATGTGCATACGGGTGGGTGTGGGTGGGTGGGTGCATATCATGCCCAACTGTAGCTATATTGTAAACTCTAAAAAGAACTAACAACTAAGTATTATTAAACTATAAAATTTTAACTCAACTCTCAACCAGGCTTCTTTTTTTCGCTATATGCACAGTTGTAGACACAGTAAAATCTTGCTTATTGTATGTTGACTTCCCAGAAAGGATGGGTGTGAGATCATAATATAAAACAAGAAAAATAGGAATCTGAAATTAAAAAAATAGGAATTTATCATATCTACAAATGGGGGAGCATATTTAAGTGAACAGAAGCAACGAAAACAAAATATTGTCATCTGGGGAATAAATCTAATGTAAGATTGGCAGGAAATTGTGGAGAGAATAGAAATGCTTCCAGTAACCCCTTAAACAAAGACCTTGGCTTTCTGGACCCTTGGCTGTGAATCTGAATGTTCTAGACACATGATTCTTATGAATCAGTGGGAGGAGACTCTTCCACTGTCTCTTCCAACACACTGTAAATAGGTGAATATATGTTTAATTCTTCATAAAGACGATCTTCTGGAACCTGATAAGGCAAAAATCATTCCACATCAGCCACCAAGAATTTTCCAGCACTAGAAGACTTGTTCAAGAGGCTTATCTCAGCCCCTTGTGTCTTTCTGAATCTCACACTCTTCCCATTACACTCTAATCATTCCCTCCATCTCCAGAAAACTAGACTGGCGGGCCAAGAGGGCCCAAAAGAAATTATATCAGTTGATGAAAAGTTGGTGAGATTATTCTTTAGTGTATTTGCTGTCTTTGTCTTTGGAGGAGGGTGATTTAAAAAGGTGTCCAGACTTGAATGCTTCAGGAATGTGGACAGATGGAGAGAGCGTTTCACTCGTCAGGTGTGAATAAGTAAGTGTGTGTGTATCAGGCGCTGGTGATTCTCCTCAAGGGTGTAAGGGAGGGCGGAGGCAAGTGGAAATGCAGTTGGTCATCATAAATGAGGAAGGAAAGAAAGTTGAAGCTTTAGAGCAAGTGGGAAGGGAAAAGTCAGGGGGCAAAAAAGGGAGAGAGCAGGAACAAATCTATTCTGGGGCAGAAAATAAGGCCAGATACCTGTGTGGTTCCACCACATGCTGCCTCGTACATTCATCTCTCATGCTCAACACATTTCAGGGCATCTGCATTTTCTAAAATTACAAAGATCCTCTTTTCCTAACCCTCAGTCAGGGGGATAGATTATGACATTTGTGCTGCTTATGAGTGTAAAACACGAGATTTGGAAACCAAAATAATGAAACTTGGAGAAACAATTTTCTGTAAGAAATGTTCCAGAAAATCCAGGCCATATTTTGAAGGGATAAAGGTCAAATTCTTTAGCCTGCCATTTAGGATTTGTTATCAGGCCCCCACCTACCTTACTTCTTCTGAGTTCTTCTCCAACCCCATATACCGTGAGTGACACTGCACTGCAGAACCCCAGAATGGTGAGAAACAGTATCATCATCACAATTTCCTGTTGGACAACAACCAACAACCAAAAAGGTAATTAGAGTCACATGATAGGTGCCTCAAAAGTTTACTCCTTATAGTAGCCCCTGCTTTTATCTCTCCTTGCATGATCAGTCCTTATAAAGTAAAAATACATGGGAAAACCAGATGGTTGCTCACAGCAGATAACTCCAACCTCGAGGAATTTGGCTGGGGTAGAGGGAACAGGCAACCGGCATCTCCCTGGACTGCATGAACCTACAGGGCACTATACTTCTGTGATGAAGACTACAAAAAAAGGATAGTGTTCATGGTAAAGGAAAACAGGGCTTTTTACTTAGATTAGGACCCCAAATCTTAGCCATCCCACAAGAAATACATACAGTGGAAAAAGAAGCCACAAAGCAGTTGTCAGGGTCAAAAACCTCTTCGCAACTGTAGTCAACATAAGACACGCTGTTCTTTAGGTTGATGATCAGGTAGACAATTCCTGTTCCCCCAGCTATACTGCTGCCAGCGTTTGCCCCCAGGCGTCCTCTCACCTGATGGTAAAGAAGAACACTCAGACCTGGGGGCACGTTCAGTAAAGCTACCTGGGTTTTGGGCCTGAGTGCATCCAGTAAACTCTGCATTTGCTCAAAATTTAGGTTAGAAAGAGAACTCTTGAAAACGTATTCATTGTTTAATAAGAGTATATTACTTTCTTGCTGGACTGCATTCAGGAACCACGTGGACACCCATGGTCTCTCCTCAAACAGTCTCCTTATAATTGAAAACAAATCCTTTTTTTGATCATGTGCATATACCTACAAGGACAATGCCTATGTGAGGATTTTTTAAAATAAGGGTTTAGGTAATTAAACTTCATTGCATGTCAAATGATACAATTTATGTTTCTAATGATTATATCCAACTTCCGTTGCAAAAAGTCTTCCAACCCAAAATAGATTGAAAAAAAATCATATATCCACATTCACTAATAATATAGGAGATGAAGAAATGTCTCTCTCAAGACTCCTAAATTTCTATTATTCTTAGCTTCTCAAGGATGGACAAAGACAGAATTTCAACTCACCAGATATGCTGCATTTTTCCTTTCAGATATAATTGACAAAAATCCAGAAACAGCAAACTGTTTAAAAGGGAGAGGGGAAAATACAGTGAGTCTCTCTTCTTCAACATTTCACCCCATTCCCCAAATATTTTGGGTACCTGTAAAGCTATCCATTAATGTCCCCTGTGAGCCCAATATTCCTTATTCTTATTTCCTGCACAGTGCTTCTCAAAATTACATATATATATGAATTATGTGAAAATCTTGTTAAAATGTGGATTAGTATTCATTAGGTCCTAGATGAAGCCTGAGATCCTTCATTTATACCCGGCCCCCAGGTGATGCTACCCCTGACAGCCCTTGGGTCATTCCCGGAGTAGCACGGTCCAGCAGCAACTGGTACGTGGCTCTTTCATTCTGCTACTCTCATTCTAGTATAATCGTTTTCTTTGTATGTGCACCCTCTGTGTTAGACTGTCCATTCCTATAGGCAAGAATTCCATTTGCAGCGTATATATCCCCAGAGTCTAAAAATCTATTATTAACAGACAGACATGTAGTGATCATGGAAATGTACATGATGAAAGATTTGGCAAAAACGTAAGTCCAATAGAACAAATTCAAAACAATCTCTTAAAGACTCAGATTGCATGATGTGTTGAGAGACACCTAATAAGCTAAGTGGTTGGAATGAACAGACAGTAGAGAGAAGTTTCAAATACAATATGGTAAAAGCATAAGGAGAGTCCTAAACAAGTGATCTGAGCGCTAAGTGTTTAGCAGAGTGTCAAGCTGATGTGATATATTTTAGAGTTAAAATGTATTCTTTTGAATACAGTATTGATACAAAAAAAAACATGGGTAATCACAAAATAATTATGCAGAGTGAAGGAAAACGGATGGTAAGGAGAACATGCTGTATAATTCTATCTATGTAAAGCTCTAGAAAATGCAAGTTAATTTATATTAATAGAAAGCATATCAGTGGTTTCTTGAGGATGGGAAGACAAAGAGTGGAGGGAGGGAAGCAGGCAGGAGTTACAAAGTAGCACAGGGAAATGTTTGAGGATGATGGATATGTTCATTTACATTGATGTGGTAATGTTCCTATGTGTGTATATATGTGGCAAAAATTATCAAATTGTACACTGTAAATATTTGCAATTTATTTTATGTCAATTGTACTTTAAAAAGCTATATATCCTCGTGATCTCAATCAGCCATCTATTTTCCAGACAGTACAATGATTAAAAGAGAAACACTAAGGAAGCACCTAAAAAGAGTTTCTAGGGCATAGAAATTCACCAAATACCTGTTGACCTTGTTTTTCTCCCCTTGTCAATCTCTTTAACCTCCCTTCGTGAAGATAACTTTTTAAATTATTATTTGTAATTGATAGATAAAATTATATGTACTTACCATGTAACTTTACTAATGAATAGTATTAAGGATATTTTCCTGGTATTACATTCTGAAAGTTTAAGTTCAATTTCTATTAGATAAATGTCCCTTGGCCAAGTCATTTAAATTTTATTAGTTTCAGGTTTCTCGTCTAATAAAACTGTGGGCTAAATGCTTAACCTACAGTTAATTATAGCAAGAATCCTTTGTTGTTGTTAATGAGCATGTATATGTAAAGAATTATAAATATTATCTTAATACTGGAGATAAACAACTGGCTAGATCTGAGTAAGAGAAAATCTATGTTCAGTGCGATTTCAGAGACAATT